TTAATATTGATTTTGATAATAAAACAGTTACAGTAAAGTAAAGTAACCCTATCTACAGAAGGTATTAGGGCATAGTATACCACGCGACCCCCCGCGGATTGGCGGACTTCGCATATCTTCGAAATGTCTTTTTTGTTATTATTTCAAAAATATGCAGGATTCCTCACTATGTTTTCCTTCACCGCTGAGCATTTGATAAGTTAGTCACTTAAAATTAACAATTTCATTGGTGCCAGCATCAAGGATTGAAGTCAGGTTGCTTGAGTATAATATAATAAAAAATAAATGTAAAATTTAAAAAATAAATGTAAATTTAAAAAGAAAATGAGCTATCACATCTTGTTAGTACAGTTACAGCCTATAAATGTCCCACTGCTGGGCAAACTCTTCCTCTTTACAGAAGGTATTAGGGCATAGTCCACCATGTGACCCCCCCCCCCCCCCAAAAAGCTATTTGGGAATTGAGGAATGTTAGAACAAAAGCATTTGCAACACCTGAAGGGGGTTGCAGATGTCAGATGCCACCTATCAAACACCGACATATGCAGTCATCCTGTCCATTATGTTGTTTATAAGTCCGTTTTGTTTTTTTTTTTTTCATTTCTCATCAAATACTGCCCACATAAATCTTATTTGGATATAAAAACATTGTTACTGAGACATATAAACAATTAAATTTTGTTCATCTCTAAATTGGAATAAAAAATATGATTCATTGGTTTTTGTTCTGATGTTCCTCAATTATAATACTGTTATGAACACACAAAGGAACTAACGCCATCTCGCGTCAACTATTAAAACCACTAAAGAACAAAGACGACATAAAACCCCCTATTCAACACTAGATGGCGTTAGAGGAACTGCTGTGGAACTATAGTCTCGAAAACCGGGTACATTCACGAACTTTCCGGAATCACGAACATGTTCGTGCGTGTCGGGTTAGGTTAGGTTAGGTTAGGTTAGGTTAGGAATGATCCAGGAATGATCTTTCTGGATTAGTCCGGAACCGGTCTCGGCCCATATAAAAAGCCGCAGGGAGGCGAGCGATGCCAGTTCGGTTTGAGCTACCTTCGAGGCGACTTCGGAGTGAAAACTAGTGATCAAGAGCGATACCAGTGAAACCTACGACTTGGCTACAAAATAGGACATTGTTAGTGCTTAGTGTTTGGACCTAGTGCTTTGTGTTGGACCTAGTTCTAGTGAATAAAGTCTTCAAAAGGTCTTTCTCTCCAAATCCTTCGAACCCCTAACACGTAACAATACCTTTTACCCGTATAAGCATAATTATGTATTGTGCATTTGGGTTTATAATATAACAGTCAAGTGCAACTTCACCCAAATTGAGAGTAATTCTTTGAATGTTTCCATATTATTTAATTGCTTTATTTTCTATTTTCACAACATGATCTATGGTCGATAAATGAGATAGGACAGTAGAGATAGCAATTTGTTCCACCGTTTCAAATTCTGCCAGCGTGACATGAGTAAAGTAAGCATGCGTAAGGAATAAGCCGCGAGACATTCTCCTTCTTTCGGTTTATTACCGCTCAAACTTATTAGAGTAGCAGCCGGTGTCACGGGGCAGTCAAATCTAGCAATAAAAATTTCTTGAAATTCACTCCATGACATACCAGGGGATGAAATCTGCGACAACCAAGTCGATGCTTCACCTTTCAACGCTCGGCTCAACGTTATCATTAATGACCCACCTTGCAGCTCACCGTCGGCCATACACATGGCGGCAGTAGTAACCCAGGCACAAGTGCGTCCGCATTTCGATTTTCCGGGTCGAATTCAGGTAGCCAAATATTTTTGCTTGAAGATGGCGACTTCATTACTTCTAATAATGCACGAAAGTTCCGATTTTGTTGTTCCATCATCAGGTGTCATTTTTCTTCTGTATCGGTTGGGGGTTCCAATCGGTAAACAGCTGGGCATGAAGGTGGAGATCCCACTTTTGATGTCGACGGACACAGCACGTTCTCGCTTCAACTTTGCAGTTATAGTAAGATAGGTTATGTACTAGAATATTTGCGTTAATTTTATTATATAGGAAAGGTCCAAGGAAGTAGAAAAATCTGTTTGTAAAGAGACATTTACTTTTGGTTTTAGAGCAAATCTTGTCTTTACGACGTTTTGTTATTTCAATTAAAGGAGTCTTAAGATGTTGCAGTAGTATTATGTCAAGAATGAAGAGTTGCCTGACAGTTAGAATATCACAATCTTTATAACAGGACAGATGGATATAAGATTGGTTTGAAGGTAGAAACTTTTAATATAGCTTTTTGAGCAATCTCAAGGGGCCTTAAATTTGACTTAGCTGCTCCACCCCAGCAAGAAACACAATAAGAAATAATAGACTGACACAGCGCATCATATAAATTATGAACGATTATATTATACGAGGAACATGTAAAGTTATATATATATATCATTAGTCTGGATGTAAGAAGATTGATGTGTGTTTTAAAGTAAGTTGTCTGTGAACAGTTTCCAGTATGGAATAATTTAATGAAATTTTGTTAGATAGTTATATTTCTAATCGTCCCATAAATAACATAGAATCTTCTATATACACTACATAGACTAAGATAGTTATGAATTCGACCCCACACAGAGTCATAGAAGTACGCGCATAGGCTTGCTGACTTTGCACTCTATGTGTGGTCCATGTCTAGACACTGTCATGAGCATTAGATAATGTAAGTCTGCAACAGGACGAACTAGAATAAGTCCATCAATCTTAAAGTACATGAGCTTCTGTACAGACATCTCTTAGTTTTATTTTTAGTTTTTAAAAAGCTCTTCAAGGCTCCCTATAACTTGACTGGCGCAGCCGGTAGGATCGTCGGTTCCTTGGGCCGTCCGCGAATGCCGGCGAATGCCGGCGAATGCCGGCGCCGGCCGGCGGCCAATAGTGCCATCACGTCCGCAACGGCGAATGCATGTCTCAGCTTCCTTACGAAATAGTTACGCGAGTGATTATACACAGCTTATTGTTTTTATGTTTTATTGCTTTTCCTTTGTTTCTTGCCTCTATTCTAACTTTCCATTTCTCTTGTGCTCACGTCTGTACTCCGCTTGTGCTCTGTTAGAACTTTAAATACATAGTGTGGACTTATTTAAAAAAAATGATTAAAAAACTGTTAATAACGAAAGCGTAGGATAAATCTTTTGGAAGAATTTTTTTTAATCAATAATTTGAAGAAAATGTTTCGATATTTATGTCACATTTAGAAGAAGTAAGGAGCAAATTATCACAGTTGGGTGAAACTATCCCAGAAAAAAAGGATAATAACTAAAGTTTTTATGACTTTGCCGAAAAAGTACCAGAATTTTCAATTTGCATGGGAGTCAGTGCGGCAGGAGCAACAGACTCTGGAGTCATTAACATCTCGTTCGTTAATAGAAGAAGAGAGATACAATGCGGAGTCCACCCACACAGAGGCAGCAGTCAATACAAGTGGATGCAAGAAAAGTGTGAGCCATAAAGAAGCAAGAAGAGATTATGGTGTGTTATATTTTTAAGAAGCCAGGTTGTATGCACAGTGGATGATCAGATACCAAGGTCTTCATTATGGTGTCTAGACAGTGGGGCAAGTATGCATATGTATTGTAATAAAAAAATGTTATATAAAATATATTCTGTAGAAGGGTAAATTCATCAATAGTAGAAGTTGTGATAATTTAACATTAAAGGAAAGTGTTGAATGTAATGTAAAATTGATCTAAACACTTAATGCTTGGTGCTTAAGCTTAATAATACCATATAGTTCTATTTCTTATAATTTGTTGTTCTCTTCTTTGTGGTCAATAATACAATATGGCGAAATGTTTAAAAGTTAAGAAGCATTATAAATGTTATAAAAAGTGTGTACCGTGGTAGACATTAGATTAACATCATTGCGTTTTTATTAAACCTCAACATAAATTTTTAACGTTCGATAACAATTATACTATGACAACAAAATATCATACTCTTTATAAGGTTATTGAACAAAAAAAATTAAGTACTACGCGAACTGTATGGCACAGACGATACTTTGCGAAATTGTGAAACGAAGTCATAAATGTCAATGTCATTCATCGTTATCTTTTTTCCGTGGTGATTTGTTCGGCGTTGACTGTGTACTGTGTTTTTTAAGGTTTTTTTATTTACCGGCGACATTTGCTATACCATACGGATTCGATCTCGCCTACTCGCCAACTTTTGCGCTGCTTTCCACGGACTCTGATCAACTAGTATCATCTTTACATAGCATAAAACAAAGTCTTCAAATACTACTTACTACGGGAATAGTATATCTTGAAAAATGCCCACAAAAACGGCCAGGACATATGTATCTAAGTCCACACGGGAAAAGCTGTCCTGGGTCAACTAGTCAAGTTAGCAAATCTATTAATGTTTGTTTATGTATCTTTTTGCTTCCACCAGAAGCTCTAATCTATCAAGAGTGTTTCTTGCAACTTAGCGAGCATTGTAGAAATGGAAATATGATATGTAGGATGTGGCAGATCTCTTGGAAACAAGAAGATGCGCGAGACATTTATTAATTTATTCTATATTGCAACTACCTTAAACAAGGATTACAAAGGGCGCACTTAATGCATGTTGAAATTCTCGCTCAGTCAACCCGGGACATGGTGAGAAATCGTGGTAGGTGCAATTATTATATTAATAAAACAAATCGACGGCAGAAACATCTCTAACCAACGATCCTTTGTGGCTAAATTCATTCGTCCTTGACAACTGTTTGTATGTACGAGTATATGCATGTAAGGGATATGTATGTGTGTGTCAACGTTGAGTAATTAGAGGCGGCTGCGCCTGCCGATTAAGTTTACCTATTAGTCGCGAATAAATACAGTTAGAGTGAACACGCAATCATTTCTTTTATGTTTAACCTTTCGCACATAAATATATTTCCCTATTCCCAAAGTGGTGGCTCCGATAGCTGTATTTATTAATTATTACATACGTTATAATTCGGAAATCGACGATGACTACCCCAGGTATGAATTTACCCATCATGTGCGCCTCGGAGAAGAAACTCGATTCGCGGCAGGAAGATGCGATGGCAAGCATCACGGTATCGTCGCGGATAGCTGAATTTTGGGCGGACCAGCCGCGACTGTGGTTCGTTCAATTCGAGGCGGTGGTTGCTAGCCAAAAACTCAGCGATGCTGCTAAGCAGAACCTGGTGGTGACGAAGCTGACCAAGAGCGCCATCCAGCAGGTTAGCGACTTACTGCTGATGCCACCGGAGGAGCGCAGATATGAGGCACTCAAGGAGTGGCTGCTGCAGGTATTTGAGGAGTCGGAGACACGGCAGTTCCAAAAGTTGCTGGGAGAGATGGAACTGGGCAGCCAGAAGCCTTCCCAACTACTGCGGCGCATGCGGGACTTGGCACGTTCGAAAATTCCAGACCCAACGTTGCAAATTATGTGGAATAGCCACCTTCCAGCGGCGGTGCAAGCGGTTTTAGCAGTCACGGAGGTCAAGGAGTTGGACAATTTGGCCGTGATTGCCGAAAAGGTCATTGAGGCCATCCGGCCAGCAGAGTTATCGGCGGTGGCGACATCGAGCTCGATCCCAAAAGACACCGCCAAATCTTCAGACCTGGCCGCGTTACATAAACTGAGTGTCGAGGTTTCGGAACTACGTCGCGCGCGGCAACCATATCGTGGTCCACGTAGACGTAATTCTCGTAGGTCGAGGTCGCGCACTAGGGACGCGTGTAGGCACCGAAGGGACTGAATGGTTGTGCTTTTACCACTACAAATATCGTTCCAAAGCAACCAAGTGCGTAGACCCGTGCAACTGGAAAGAGCTGAAACACGTTGCCACATCGGAAAACTAACGGCGATACAACCAGCGGCGGAGATTTGTATCGACACGTCAAAACGCCTATGTATTTTCGATAGAAACAGTGGGCTAAAATTTTTAATAGACACCGGTGCTGATGTGTCGGTTATACATGTTTCGTGTACTAAATCGAAAGATTTCGCGTGTGATAAGTATAAACTTTATGCGGCTAACGGTACCGAGATAAGGACATATGGCGTTAGACCTTAGTTTAAGAATATCTTTCCGATGGACTTTCATTGTGGCGGCTGTTAAGCAACCTATAATTGGAGTAGATTTTTTAACTCATTATAGATTGTCAATTGAATTAAGCGCACGGCGACTCGTAGATCAGGTTACGCGTTTGAATGTTATTGCGTCAGTCATATTATGCCACGGCGAGTATGAATCATCTATTAAAACGTTGATTAATAACAATGTATGACATGATATTTTATCTAATTATCATGATATTACCCGTCAGGTATCATACAAAGATATTCCAAAGCATACGGTGTGCCATCACATCGAAACTTCAGGACCACCTGTTCATGCGAAGGCGAGACCACTACCTCCGGATAGGTATAAAAAGGTTAAGGCGATATTTCAGGATATGTTTAGGTATTTGTAGGCCCTCCAAAAGTCCTTGGGCAAGCCCGTTACATGCGGTACCCAAGAAAAATGGAGAACTTAGGCCATGTGGAGATTATAGGCGATTGAACGCGATAACAAAACCCGATCGTTACCCTATACCACGTATTAACGATTTTAGGTACTTATTAGCAGGAAAAAAAGATTATTTTTAGCAAGTTAGATTTGAATAGGGCGTATCATTTTATTCCTGTTGCATCCGATGAAATTGAGAAAACGGCAATCATTACGCCTTTTGGACTTTTCGAATTCCCGCGAATGACGTTCGGTTTGTGCAACGCTGCACAATCGTTTCAGAGATTCATGGACACGATAGTGCTGCGTGGTTTCGATTTCGTATTTAATTATATTGATGACGTTTGTATAGCTAGCGAATCGGAAGAAGCCCATAAGGCGCATTTGAAGGCAGTTTTCTCAAGGTTTAACGAATTTGGTGTTACAATTAACGTATCTAAATGTATATTTGGTGTATCAAAATTAGATTTTTTAGGTTATGAGGTGTCAGCGGATGGTGTTCGCCCGCTTGACGATAAGGTAGAAGCAATTGTAAATTTTCCGAGGCCTGAAAATATCGAGCAATTGCGTCGTTTTCTCGGTATGGTTAATTTCTACCGCTCTCACATTCCTAGGGCAGTCGAATGCCAGGCAGAATTAAATGCTTATTTACATAACACTAAAAAGCGCGATAAAACATTAATTGAGTGGACTAATAAGGCTATTGAGGCTTTTGAGAAATGTAAGACTAGCTTAAAAAGCACCATTACATAATCCTATCCATTGCCAGACGCTGATTTATCTTTAATGTATGACGCTTCAAACACTAGTGTAGGTGCAGTCCTAAAACAACAAGTTAACAACTGTTGGAAACCGCTGGGATATTTTTCTAGGAAGTTAACGCTCACGGAAAACAAATACTCTACATATGATCGCGAATTGTTAGCAATATTTATGACCATCAAACATTTCAAAAGTTTAGTAGAGGGACGAAAATTAACTATTTTTACCGATCATAAACCACTTATATACGCATTTACAAAAATAAACAGCGATAAAGAAAGTCTTAGACGAATCCGTCAACTTTCTTATATAAGCGAGTTTAGCACAGATATTAGGTATATAAACGGTAATCAAAACGTAGTGGCCGATGCTCTATCCCGCATAGCAACAATAAATTGTCCGACGTTACTGGATTATGCAGCGCTAGCGGAAAAACAATCGAGTGACGCATATTTACAGCGAATGATACAAGCGTCTAATTGCAACTTTCAGTTTAAACAATTTTACATACCTGATGGTGAGAAACAAGTTTATTGTGAAGTCTCACACAATAATATTAGACCGTACTTAACGGAAGATTTTAGGCAATTAGCTTTTCGTTCAGTACATGACCTTAGCCATCCTGGAATTAAATTTACTAAACAATTAATCAAACAAAAGTTCTTTTGGCCAGATATGGACCGGGATATAACTAGATGGGCCAGAGCCTGTCCCGTATGTCAAAAAGTTAAAATAAATAGACATACTGTGTCAGGAGTAGGGAATTTTGAAAGGGTTGATAGATTTCAACATGTACACATCGATATCGTCGGACCTTTGACGATATCGTCTGATGGATATAGATATTGCGTGACAATGATCGACCGTACCACGGGTTCGCCCGAGGCTGTTCCTATGCAAAATATCACAGCGAAGACCGTAGCCAGAGTAGTTTTTAAGTGTTGGATTTCTCGCTTTGGATGCCCTTCGAAGCTTACTAGCGACCAGGGTAGACAGTTTGAGAGTGATTTATTTAACAACCTCATGAGATATTTAGGCATTCACAAGTTACGTACAACTCCTTATCATCCACAAAGCAAGGGCATGATCGAACGTTGGCATAGAGCACTAAAAGTATCGGAAGTGATAGCGGGGTGAGCGCAGCGGAATTAACCTACGGTAAGCCGTTGCGATTACCGGGAGATTTTTACGACCAATCCAAAATTCGTATGTCGGACTCGGAATATTTACAGTTGCTTAGGGATACTATAAATAAATATAAACCACGACCAAGGAGTCATGGGAATTCGAGATCATTATTCGTGTCTAGCGATCTTAATACGTGTAAAAGTGTTTTCGTTAGGAACGATATAATGAGAAGGTCACTTCAGCCTCCATATGATGGTCCATATACTGTCGTAAAACGACAAGGAAAGACATTTATTAATAAGATAGGTGATAAGGAAACTTGTATATCGATCGATAGGCTTAAACCTGCATACGTTATCGATAGTGATAGTTCTAGGTTAGATATAACGGATGATAGTAATAACGATAATAGTACTAATATTAAAAGCAATAATAACGAGGACACTTCTAGCAAAGTTTTAAATCATAAAACAACGCGATGTGGCCGCGTTATAAAAACACCTTTACGTTTTACATAGTATGCAACCTATTGTATTTTAACCGTATTGAGTAATTTTGATTATGATTTATGATTAACGCTATTGCGACTTAATTTAGTTCATATATTATACACCAATATACACCTTTTTACATTTTATTAACTTTTAAATTTACATTGCATTTTTGTGTAAATTACATTTTTATTGTTCATGCAAAAACTTTGTCGTACGGTTTCATTAATTTTAAGACGTATGCAACATAATTATTATTGGGCACACGTATAATTAGGCAATAATTTTATTTTGATTCACGGCAATATATAATTAATATTTTTGCGGTAAATTACATTTCATTACGTTCTTAGCTCAGACGAACATCATTTTTTTTTGCTAATAATTCAATACGATGGGTTCGAGTCAAACTAAAGAAGAACACAACTCGAGCAATAGTTTGATTGCTCAGACGGTGAACAACACCTTCCAGGAAAAATTGGATAGCCTGGTATGGGTCATCATAGCTCTTGTGGCGATTTTGTCCGCTGCCATTGGGTTGATGGTGTGCCGGCGCTGCAAGAGGGCGGCAGAATTTTGGGTTCGCAAGCAGACCAGCTGCAACCCCAGCACGGCGACCGTCCAGACGGTGCCTCCACAACAGGCGCCAGTGGCTAGTGCATACGTGTGACCAAAGTGATTTGCATAGATCTAAAAAATGAAATCGGGTATTATTAAAATGTGTTTATTGTTTGTTTTAAAGTTATATTATGTACTTAGTGTTAAAAATATTTTTTCCTTAACAGTACAGTATGACTGAGTTTTGTATGTACGAGTATATGCATGTAAGGGATATGTATGTGTGTGTCAACGTTGAGTAATTAGAGGCGGCTGCGCCCGCCGATTAAGTTTACCAATTAGTCGCGAATAAATACAGTTAGAGTGAACACGCAATCATTTCCTTTATGTTTAACCTTTCCCACATAAATATATTTCCCTATTCCTAAAACAACGAAGCAGCCGCTAAAGAGTTTGAAGCAAACGCAGCTGGCCATGTCAATTTGGTTGAAGAATAGAAAGCAATCGCTGATGTAGATAAATACTACGCAAAATCCGTACCTCATCAGCTCACGTATATTACCACGCGGTGATATACTGGTACGAGTCCAATTTGTTCAAGGCTATATATAACACCGCCCAGATTGCTTCAGGAGCGGGAGAGTACATAGATGGTTTATACGACTTTACCGATGCGACAGGCGTGAAACATCGTCAATATGCAAAATGAGCCAAACACTCAGGGACACTCCTGGCGAACTACAGCTCAGTCCAACGGTACGAGGCCCTAGCCGCACCTACTGCAAAGGTTAGCAGATGATAGCTACATTACTAGCGAAGAAGTAGCTCAGAGGTGTTTATTAATACCAATCCATCTCTTCAGTAATCCAAATGCTCCACTAACAGAAATACCTGCATTAGCTATTTGCGACTGCACATACATTTTCTGCACAAAAAAGTAGTAACTACTTTAACAAGAAAAAGGCTTATACTATACACAAATATAATAATTTAATGAAGCCGCCTGCGATGGTTATATTATGAATATGTCAGGCCCATACGCAGCAACACAAATTGATGTTGAAATAATGCAGAAATTATTTGAAAATGAAAATGGGCCGATGAGGTCATTTAAAAAAAATATATTATATAGAAGTTTTCGAGATAGCATATCGGCATTAGAATGTTATGGCTATAAAGTATTTAGGCCTGAATCAGTGGATGTAGCTGAAATACGATAACCACATTATAGACAAACAAAAGCCGCCGTATATATAAATGTAATGTAAATAATGAGTAAACACTATTTAGATGTGATGTTGAGGTGGTGAATGGCCGATTAAAACGTGATTTTAAATTATTCAGGCAAGAATTTATTTAATAGGGGCCACTTTACCTTTAATGGAAGATTTATTATTAATTGCATCCATTTTCATTCACTGATTGAAGATCGGCCAGATGCATACCAAATCATATAAAGAGCATTACATTACCATAATGAGCCGAATAATTAAGCAATTAAATTCATCCAAAAATATAATTTTAATAGACGAAGAATTCGACAGAGATCCTAGCAATATCCATGCGATTGAACAATTATTGGAATACTACTGCAGTTGTGTTGCAGGCAATAAAATCGTCGACTGTTGTTTCCATGTAACGACTCTGATATGGTACCTAGGTTGGGTTCGCCATCAAAATGATATTGATGCGCCGGCAGATTATTGAAACGAAACGAGTCTTACGTTTTATTTCCAATCAGACCTACAGTCTACCATACCGTTAAAAATGATAGTACAAGGTTATTAATACGGTTAAGAACTTAGATAGACCTTAAGCTACGCCGTCGAGATACGAAACACACCTAAACATATAAAACATGAGCCGCGTCGCGGTCGCTCATCTCAAATACTCTCTATTCAAAGCAGTGTGCAAGTGTCGAGGTCACGTGTTCAGTCTACTTCATTTCATAGCCGTACTTTCTCCTGGCAAGATCTTGTAACGATACACAGCATTTTTTACCAGTTACACCATTATAAAATGTATATAACCTCAAATCATTTTGAAACTTCAACTTAGATTTAAACCGCAAGTTTTAGAGGCGTATGTTTAAATTTTCGATAATCATATTGGTCTCTTGTTCTTATGCGAATATTATACATTGTGAAATGAAACTATTTTACGGATTTTATTGCGTTTAATTAGATTTTTAATTTCGAACCTTTTCTTGGGTTCATGGTCACGGGACAGACTGAGATTTTCCCGAAGATCGAGAGCATTCACAGCTGCGAGCAGGCTACATCAATCGTTCTGATCCCGACTGTATAGATAAGCTGTTTAAAACATAGTAAATGAGACAAGAGAGAACTATCTAAGAAGACAATAAACTCCCAAATAAAATATGTTATTTAATGGAGAGTAAATAATTTCTCGGTATTACTCGCCTCGCCTTCTTAACAAAACATTAAAAATGTGTTCACGATGCCACCACAAAAATTGCGAAATGGTCACATTTATATTTACTTTTCAAAAATGCTGGAAATAAAGGCATTAGAATACTAACTAAATTGACACAGTACAATATAAATCCTCATACACTCCACAAAATGAAAGCGAAATATGCTTCACAATTACATAGCCGCAGTGTAGCAGGAAAGCATGGCTTACTTTGCAGGTAAGTAGTAGACTTTCTTTTTTTAATGTTTCATTGCCTTTTTCTCCTGATCCTATATTCTCAATTTACTGATATTGCTATCTTCTTATACCACTGTTGCCAACTGTATACATTTTTAACAGTACTTTTCGCTATTTTTCAAATACGGAAAGTCTTCCTATTAAATGTCAAGAGACAGCTGATTTATTATAAATAATAGATAATTTATCTGACTCTTAAAACGGGAGTTTTAAAAAAGTCGTCATGCGAAACCTTTACTGGGATGTGTAACTCCAAACTCCATACACCACAAATTGTGGTAGGAAGCTAAAATTATTTTGATATCTATAAAGTTTGTGACCGCTGCTGGAAAAGAAGAATCTGTTACCAAAAGGCCGTGGACACCGGATGGTATAAAAGTTTTATTAAGACAACCTAACTTCAGTTAGGATTCGGCACCAAAATCAGGTTCCAATTGGAAATATTTTTGGAGCAATAAAAATTCATGGGTGTCGCAATAATAATCCTACATGTGATCAGTTAAAGTCTGCATTTCTTATATTATTAATAAATAATTTGAACACATGTGGACCACCCGCGGTGAAAATTGTGAAAATTATTTTTATGATTCATTACACACCCTTGTTCTCGATCAATATTGTGAAACCTAGTTGACCAATAAAGTTCATTTTGAAATTTTTTGGGACATTAATTGTACATTAATTAAAGAGAAACTATAAGACCCTCCTACCATAGCACCTCTGCAATATGTAAGTGGTTATTTTATGAAAAAAGAATACCAAAATTGTGTTTATTATAACAATGCTCTTAGTGGACAAATGCAATTCAATATATCATTTATAGGGAATTCAGGAAGGATTTAGGATTTATAGAGAATTCAGGGGAATGTTCAGGGCGACGGGGGCTTCGCATAACCAGGGATTATTTGATAAAGTTGATTTCAAATATTCAAGATTTAATCAAGTAATTAAAGCTTCAAATAGTTTATATTTTCTTAGCGTTTTGTCAAACTGACCACTTTGATCTGAAATATCTCCTCTTTGGTTAAGAATTCCAAATTCAAATTTATAAATTCATTTAGCTACATTTGAGGTACATTTGAGGTACATTTGAGTTTTGAAAACAGTCATTCATTTGTTTCTTCCTCATTATTTTATTCTTTGGCGTCGCTTATTACCGCATAATGGAAAACAAGAAATATCGGTATATTTACGAGTACGAGTTCTACCGTGGCACTAGTGCTGTAGAAACAGCTCGAAGGATTAAGGATGTGTACGGCGCTGGTGTCGCAAAAGAAAGCACGATACGCTTTTGGTTTCAACGTTTCCATTATAGAAATTTCGAAATTTCGATCCATCACAAAGCACTTAAGAGATAGCTACAGACTTCGGGATAAGTGATAAAACTGTATTAATCCACTTGAAGCAAATCAGGAAAGTAAAAAAACTTGAACCATGGGTATCTCATGAATTGAGTGAATCGAACTTGCAAACACGCGTCGACTGCTGTGTTACTTTGCTCAACCGACACAATAATGAAGTTTTAAGTAATCGAATCATTACTTGTGATGAAAAGATGATACTGTACGATAATCGGAAGCGCTCATCGCAACGGCTGAACCCTGGAGACCCAGCCAAATCCTGCCCTAAACGAAAATTGACTTAGAAAAAGTTACTAAACCGGATATCTCGTTATCTATTCGAGCGAAGAGACACATGGTCGCATGGAGCAGCGGTCACTTGCTTTTCGCCTGAGTTCCAGGACGGTGATATAACCAATAGTGCTGCTTGTCGTTATAATAATTGTTAATATTCAAGTTCAGAAATAGTTGAAATATTAGAATCAAAATAATAACGTCTGAACTCTTATATCAGAAGTGGGATTCGATCCGAAAACTCACGTGTATTAGTACGTACATCCTGATTTGTAACGTTTTTGGCAGTTCAAACAGTCGGCGACATATTTTTTCTTTAAGTACCTACCTTCGTAAAAGGAATCGCTTTTTTATACTATACGTAATGGTGATAAAATCTTTTGGTTTAATGTAACTAAGATTAGGTGAGTACCTTCCAGTTAAGTTATTATTTAATATATTTGGGAAATGTCAAATATTTGTATTGAGAAGAATAACGAGTATTACAGGGTAATAACAATAGAGCAAGGTTTTGTGTATTAACTAATCGTTTAGTGCAAGTCTTCATGGCGATGGATTTCAATTGTGAACACCATCACTGGTAGTTAGGCGAAGTAACTATACAAAAATGGTTTACCCGGTTAAGCTACCGAGCATTTTTGTAGTTGCAACTAAGTTTCACAGCAAGCTGAATTATTAACGCTGGCAATTTTTTCAAGACATCAGACACAAATAGGATTTGCATATCGCATCGATGCACCTTATAAAGTAGTTCCATTTGAATTAAGAGTAAGACTTTATCGTTCGTTCGGCAAACCTTGTA